CCTATTCCCATAGTCGCTTCCCATACGGAATAGGGGTTTGGTGGTCCCTGGAAATTCCACTAACAAAACCACTAGTTAATCATCCTTCTCACCATTGAAATGGCATGAAATGGGGAGATAAACCCACAAAATCTCATCCTGCAAACGTTACTTGGGGGTGCATCCCACTTAGTAAATGGGTTATACACCCAGTTAAATATGGAATATCCCGACATATCCCGACTCATATGAGACTATAATATATATATATATATATATATTATACATATGGGTTATAGATATGCATTAACATTATAAGCCACTTATACTAAGTAAGATGCACATCCATGCGTAGGGCGCCTAGGCGACCAAGCCCAACGCATCCTTTGCAGCTTGTCGTTCCGCGCCTGGGCTCTGGCCCTGGCAGAGGAGACTGGTTTTCGTCGACCATCCCAACTTGGACTATAGTGGACTCATGGTGAAAAGGGTGGGTTTGTTTATGGTGATATTGTGATATTTTCAGGTGAAATTCATAAGAGGAATCATCCCTTAAAATATCCAACATGGCCTTATTTCAGGCTCAGCAATCATGGAGCATAAGATATTTAACATCGGCAAATTCCCTATGTTTACCGAAAGCATGGTTCCTGTTGCCTTCAAGCAGGAGAAGCGCCATGTGGCAGAGATCAGCTGCTGTGCAGGTGTGGATCTGCAGGTCGGTTTTTCACAGAGATGCGAGACGCTTGGCAAAGAAAACTGCGTACATGGCATATATATGAGTACGTAGTATGTATATATATATATATGTGGATATATATATATATATGTATACAATTTCATTTTCACATAGACACACACTATATAATATATACACAACGTGAAAAATAGTGGCATGAAATCGAGCATTGCAGCATAATAGGCTACATGTCCTGCTACATGCTCCGGCACTGGATTGATAGAAGCTTAGAGGCCAAAAAATGGTCACCGGCCGTCTAGCATGTTTTTCTGGTTGGAAGCAACCAGAAGTAGCAATTCATTGATCCAGTTTTGAGTGAGTTATCACCTCTCAGTGGAAAGCATTCTGGACCCAAAGCCTTATCATTGTCATGTATGATGACCGAGAGCGCTTCTGACAACAAACACCTGCGACCCAGCGGCGACCTCGCCCTCTTCGAGTCACCCCAAATCACAGTGATGCCAGCAGGACTCCAAAGCCGGTGGAGAGTTTGGGGGTCAAGGTGTACAAATACGTGGATGGCACTGGTGGCACTGGCTTGGCGAACGGAGACTGCAGCCTGGAAAGCTTTTCATTCCAGTCACAGACCAATTGGTGAGGCGGTTGCTGGAGGGGCATTCCATTCTTGTTTGCTGCAAAAACGGAGCACACAGAAGTGCCATCTCGATTGTGATCATGGTCATGAGGCTGCAGAATTGGGGAGCGTTTCAGGCAGCGAACTATTTCAGTGGGCTTCGCAACATCGTTGACCTGGAAAGCCTGCCGCCAAAGCAACCCTTCAAGAGCCTTTGAAGCTTTGCAAGCGTTGTGCCTAGTGCTTAGTAGAACAAGAGTTTGTACGTATATTTTCCCATGGGTTCAAACAACAATACGTGACATATGCCCTGATGTGAATGCGGTAGTCAAACAATTATTTAACTTCTTAACTGTTTGACGTGTATATTATAGAGGGTTCGGAAGAAAAAATGCATGCAGTATAGTTACCCTACGATAGTTTGAGATAGCTATGAGAAATCCACCATGTTTAACAGGTACATAAAGGTAACTCATCCATGAATGGACCGCGACGTTCAAAGCAAACTGTTGAATATTGCAAGTAAGAACTTTGCCAGGGGATGTCTTGTTCCAAGGGACATGTGTGTTTAAACACAACTTGATTGCCAGATATGTGGCCATCAACTCACCATCCATTTGGCCACAAATAGTATCCATGTATATCCATGTGTTTGATGGATAGTTAATACAATAATGACATCATCCTGACATATAATTGTATCAACCATTATCGTATTGACTATATAAGACAATAACTATCCAGTGATGAGGGAGTACAGGAGCAAGGGGTACTGTATCTATTATTCCCTAGTTTGGGAAGCGAAGGAGCTACGAAGAGTTTCCCAACGGCATTGTAGACAACCACTATCCAATATTATCAATATACTTTGAATATATAAGTATACATGATAACCCATTACAAAAACATGATATGATTGTACATTGATATATACATGATAAGCCATTAACATCATTCACACACATATATATATATATATGTATATACATACACTTTTTTTTCCCCACCAGCCATCTGTTGATCCTATGGGATGTTCCCTTCGGCATCGGGCCTCGCCAGGTGTGGCCCTGGTGCGTCGCGCTGGGCATTCCAAGGCCACCACGCGGCTCTTGGAGGAGAAGATGCGGCTGCAACGCGAGGCACCGGATGACCACCGTAGCTAGGCATTGGGCTGTAAAATATCTGGGTAAAACAAGGCCATAAATCAGCCATGTGGGAATGGTTTATACCACCTGTTTATGATATTTATGGTGATTTGGGGATGGTTTATTATTGTTTTACCCACATTAATGGAATTTTAATGGGATTTCACCATCAGGTCTAAGGATTACATATGATTTTATATGGGATTTTGAGATTTTGAGTATTAATCATGGTCCAGCTAGTAGATGTAAAAACATTATTATTTGGGACTCGGTCAAAATCATGATACCCTTCTGTGTTCATAGCAAAATTGCTGGTAGTAGTGGATGTTCCTCCACCCCAATATTGAATTTTATAGATATTGATCCATACCCAGATATTTGATTATAAGCAGTATTATGTATTTATGTATTTGTGTGTGTGAGTTTGTCCGTTTTGAGCAAAACCCAGGGCGGTGATCAACCCATTGACAAGTGAACCTCCATTTGTTTGGGTGACACACCAGAATAAGGGAGATATTTTTGTTTGTCTTCGCGCGATACATATCTATCTATCTTTCCATATATACATGTGTATATATATACATGCACAGTACATATAACCCAGTCCTAGTGTCCTAGTGGGGACATTATGGGGATACAATCCACAATATGGTGATTTATGGGTGATAGGTGATATGGGATACCCCAATATGCGGCCAAAAGATGTCTAAATGACCTGATCCATTGGGAGTTCAGATCAGCTCAAGGAGCGTTCAGTTCAACCCTTGTTCAACAAGCTCAATATCCAACAGTTTTTTCGTAAAACTCTTCTGTACTCCTGGCTACCTTTCACAAAGGTAGCTGGGAACAGCAGTGATGATACGGCCGTTGCTGGGCCTGTAATGGATAAGATACTACGGCCTGGCCTTCTGACGCCCTGAAAATCCTTTGCAATGTGGATATAAACTGTGCTTGCAACTGGGTAGTTGCAGTTGTATGTCAGCATATTTGAAACTGGCAGAGAGCCACCTTACAATTTATTCCCACAATGGCAAGTGAACATTGTGTATCATTGAAAACCATTGATATCCCATCAGATATCCCCAGTATCCCATTGATATCCCATTCAGATCCCGTAAAATATCACCAGTATATTCCATGATATCATGATTTCCGCAGTGAATTTCTTGGTTTATCCCCTCTGGTAAACTAACATACCTATGGAAAACAACATTTTTTATGGGTAAATCAACTACAAATGACAATTTTCCATACCTATGTTAGTTTACCAGAGGGTAACCCCCAATTGACAACAAAAAGATGGGCCCACCATGGCCCAGAGCCATCCCTAACGCCTTCCAGTGGCCAGTTGCAGACGCTGCGGTGTTTTCACGCGCCTGGGCTCCCGGTAAACGAACAGTTCGATGTGGAACATGGCACATTTAGTTCGATGATTTACCTATAGAAAATTGTGTGTTTTCACATTTATCTTAGTTTACAGGAGGGTATCTTTTTAGAGCCATTCCAATAATATGTGGAATCAGTACAATCATTCCAGTTACATCCAATTATTGCAATGCTCTGCATTTCACAAGAACTGGAAGTGCGGAAAGCGGGTGCTGTTGCTGGCGGGTTCAAGCATTTCTGGGTGCCTTTGCTAATGCCTCACTGGGGTAGTTGCTCCATATTACCCTCTGGTAATTTCACGTAGCTATTGAAAATCACCATTTTCAATGGGTAAATCCACTATAAATGGTCATTTTCAATAGCTATGTTAAATTACCAGAGGGTATGTATGTCAGTTTCCTGCAGGTATATTTATCATGACGCATCAAAGACATATCGTGGCTGATCATCCTGGATCCCGTTGTTGTGGCTGGGCTTTGAGAAGAAACACCAGTCCTAAGACTTGGATGATCATGATCATTTCAAGCGTATGCTCTTGAGTTCTGGAAGTTTGCGAGCTACAGGTAGCCGGGTAGCCCGCCTAAACAAAACAACTGTGTTGTTTGCGTTTTTCCCTCAGAGGCTCATCCTTTCTTTTGTTCGGATTTTCAGACAAGAAACATCCAGAGGGCAAAGGTGTGGTACTTTTTGAAAACCGTATGTTCAGACCCAAATATAATAATATATATATATATGTATAATTTATGTCAAGCTGGTGACATATTTCCTGAACAAAATCCGGACTGATATCTCCATTATACAATCATATATATATATATACAATCATATATATATAATCATGTATATATATATATATAATCATATATATTTATAGTCACATATATATAGTAATATATATATATATATATTTAATCATATATATATAATCATATCTATATATATAATATCACATATATATAATCATTTATATAATCATATATATATATATAATCATATATATATAATCATATGTAATATAATCATATATATCCATAAATTGGTTGACTTTATGGCACCCATGTTTGGTAGGGCTCAGCTTCCGACTTGGCAGATGGTCGTGCCAACGAAGCTCACGAGGTGATGCAGGCTGCGCCCCTTAAAACACCAGGATTCCTGGATTGAACACCAAAAACCCTCTGGTAATCAAACGTGGCAATGGGAAATTCCGTGTACCCTCTGGTAATTTAACGTAACTATGGAAAATCACCATTTTCAATTGGAAAATCCACTATAAATGGCCATTTTCAATAGCTATGTTAAATTACCAGAGGGTAAATGTAGGTTTTTCAATGGGGAAATCCTCTATAGATATCTACAAATCTTGTGAAAGTTGCCATGGTGAGGAAACCTAGGGAATTCCCATGCGAAAGGGAGGATTCAACATGTTTACTGTCCCAAAAAACATTGGTAGATAAAAACTCAAACAACAACATACCAACCCAAATGATGTCTGTATATATATATATTTCTCAAAGATGTTTCCTCTTGTTGAGGGATCCAGTATTACAACCGGTCAGTTCACTCCCCGGCAGAACGCTTTTGGGACGCATGAAAAGAAGTAGAGACTTTATCAGCCAACCAAAGTGTCAGGGTCCTTCAAGAGTCACCACTAAGTTTCACTTTCACAAATCATTTCATCCACTGCAACCCTTGCACAAGCTCACTTATGTCTTGCACACGGATTTCATTGGTTTGTTGCAGCTTTGGTGTACAGTTGTGAAAACAACCCTATCGCACAACCATGTGCAACCTTCTTCCCAGTCATTATTTTCCCGTAGAACAAGTTTTTGTCCAAAATAATGTATAATCCTCTCTCCCTATTACTAAAACACCCCCCCCCCAAATGGTAAACGCGGTGATCTATTTTTATTAAGGGGGTATGTTGTATTAGGGTGCCCCTAATATTCCAATGAAAGACTCTAATAATAAAAATAAAAAACAACTTGATTTCAACTTTGATTAAATCCCTTATTAAAATCTATATTTAAAAAAATTGCCCAAAACTGGATTTCGAAGCTTTCCCCTAATATTCCAATGAACACCTTAATAATGAAATAAAACAACTCGATTGCAAATTTGATTAAATCCCTTATTAAAATCTACAGTATATAAAATATTGCCAAAAACTGGTTTTCGGACTTTCCCCTAATATTCCAATGAAAACCTTATATAATAATAAACATAAAAAATAGAACTTGTTAGATGGGACCCTAATTAAAAAAAAAAAAACATCCAGGTGGCAATCTATTTTTATTAGTAGGGGGGTTGAACCCATTGTTTCACCATCCTGTTCTCCTATTGGTTCTCAATTACCACAATTGAGAATCCAATTGTGCCCAACCAAAAAAAACGGAAGTGCCACACCACTCCTATGTGTTTTATTTGGGGAAGTTTTAGTAATAGTTTTTGATGTAGGTGCAGGCAACTTGCTGCATATGAATCATCGCCGCTTGTTTGGCAGCATTGACTTTTCTTTTAATGCCTGGATACTTATGAAGTGCAAGAATCAATGGCTGCTCACCAACTTCCCTTGTCCAGCTGTTCCAGAGAAGGCGGACTTCATGGGATTATGGATTATATATAATTATATATAATTATATATAATTATATATAATTATATATATAATTAAATATATAATTATATATATATATACATCTTATCAAAGGAAGTTTAGGGGGAGAAACTTCCGTGTTACGGACTTTTAGAATGTCAGGGAAATAAGTCAAAGAAAGAGTTAGTGAGGGAAAGAGTTAGTCAAAGAAAGAGTTAGCAAAGAAACAGTTAGTCAGGGAAAGAGTTAGTCAAAGAAAGAGTTAGTGAGGGAAAGAGTTAGTGAGGGAAAGAGTTAGTCAAAGAAAGAGTTAGTGAGGGAAAGAGTTAGTCAAAGAAAGAGTTAGTCAAAGAAACAGTTAGTCAGGGAAAGAGTTTGTCAAAGAAAGAGTTAGTGAGGGAAAGAGTTAGTCAAAGAAAGAGTTAGTCAAAGAAAGAGTTAGTCAAAGAAACAGTTAGTCAGGGAAAGAGTTAGTCAGGGAAAGAGTTCGTCAAACCAAGAGTTAGTGAGGGAAAGAGTTAGTCAAAGAAAGAGTTAGTGAGGGAAAGAGTTAGCAAAGAAAGAGTTCGTCAGGGAAAGAGTTAGTCAAACCAAGAGTTAGTGAGGGAAAGAGTTAGTCAAAGAAAGAGTTAGTGAGGGAAAGAGTTAGTCAAAGAAAGAGTTAGCAAAGAAAGAGTTAGTCAGGGAAAGAGTTAGTCAAAGAAAGAGTTAGTGAGGGAAAGAGTTAGTCAAAGAAAGAGTTAGTCAAAGAAGAGTTAGTCAAAGAAAGAGTTAGTGAGGGAAACAGTTAGTCAGGGAAAGAGTTAGTCAAAGAAAGAGTTAGTGAGGGAAAGAGTTAGTCAAAGAAAGAGTTAGCGAGGGAAAGAGTCAGTCAAAGAAAGAGTTAGTGAGGGAAAGAGTTAGTCAAAGAAAGAGTTAGTCAGGATATATGAGGTAGTCAAAGAAAGAGTTAGCAAAGAAACAAGTTAGTCAAAGAAAGAGTTAGTGAGGGAAAGAGTTAGTCACAGAAAGAGTTAGCAAAGAAACTGTTCCCTCACTGTAAATGGGATTGCAAGTGGTGCTGGTGGAGGAGTTGCCGATGGAGTTTTGGAGGAAGTCTCGCACGAAATGCGTTTTTGAGAGATAGCAGATGCACGAAAGCCTATGTTTTTCCATACAAAGTTCGTCCCCGAACCTCGATGATCTACCTCTGCGGTGCGACGGGTGCGAGACGGTCTCGTGTGTGGTCGGATCATGGTCGGATATGCTCGGATCATGCTCGGATCATTCTCGGATCGGTTCCGCATTGTAAATGGGGTGTCAACTGTTTTTCGTGCATGTGTGGGCGACAGAATTCCATTGTGATTTGCAACTGTAGGATCGTTCCCGCAATGTAAATGGGATTGCAAGTGGTGCTGGTGGATGAGTTGCAGATGGAATTCCATTGTGATTTGCAACTCTAGGATCGTTCCCGCAATGCAAATGGGATTGCAAGTGGTGCTGGTGGATGAGTTGCCGATGGAGTTGTGAAGGAAGTCTCGCACGAAATGCGTTTTTGAGAGATAGCAGATGCACGAAAGCCTATGTTTTTCCATACAAAGTTCGTCCCCGAACCTCGATGATCTACCTCTGCGGTGCGACGGGTTGACACTACAGCTACGTAACGCGGTCACAACGGACAGCACAGTTACTATGTCGTACATGCAAGACGCACCAACTAACGTTCAGTGCTTATTGTCGAAGTACGTCGTTACGGACTGCTTTTACCTTTGCCATGGCGCTCCCCGCATACGACTGGCTGGTATGGAAGGATAGAGCTGCTAGCTTTCTGCGGGCTCACCCTCGGGAAGTTGCGCTGCAACTCACTTGGGGTCAGCGACTGGTGGTTCCGGGAGCTCGTGAGGCATACGCAGTCGCAACCTATGAACGAGGGGCCATGGGTCGTAGCCTCGGCGCGGCGCCATGCAACTTGTGTGGATGCTGGACACATAGCTGGTGTGAAGCTTGCAAAACACGTCCGCCCACTGCAATTTGTTCGACGTGCGACGCGGCCAAGCTCTTGTGTCAGTCTTACACGTCGTGTCACCAGCTGGTTTACTCCGAGGCTTCACAGAAGCCACAATAGCAACGTCCTTTCCTCCCGGAACTGGACGTGCGAAGTTGTGTTCCGCGTCCAGCATGGTCGAGGCGGCGCCGGAGAGTCAGACGAGCACGGCGGCAAATGTGCAGCCACCTGTGGTGAATGACTAGAGCGCCAAAAGTTCAGATTGGGGCCATTGGAGAAAGCCGAAGTCTCTGGTACGCTTTGCGTCGCCACAGAACCAAAGCTCAGTGCGCAGAATGGCTCAACATCTTGCACAGCAACAGTACGTGGTATTGCCGCAGAGGGATCAATTCTCGTTTGACTGCCGAGGCTGGGTGTGCGTTGTTGTGAACCGCATCCGAGTCTGAATTGCTGTGCTTCAGTAGCTTCGCCTTTCATTTCGAGTTGCAGACGGCAGAATGCCTGTGTCACTTCATTTTCGTTTCTGTGTGCGTTGTTACGAACCACACAAGAAACCATGATCGTATTGCATACATGTGACAAAAAAAGGATCTTTCAGATTCTGGCTGCTTTCATTTTCTATTTAAAATCAACTTTTTCTGCTCTGACGTTGGAGTGTGAAGGAAGCAGGGGAAGTGTGAAGTGTGAAGTGTGAAGTGTGAAGGAAGCAGTGGGAAGTGAGAAGTGTGAAGTGTGGAGTGTCAAGTTTAAGTTTGGAGTGCGAAGCGCGCAGTGTGAAGTGCGAGGTTTGGAGTGTGAAGGAAGCAGTGGGAAGTGCGAAGTGTGAAGTGTGGAGCGTGAAGTTTCAAGTTCGGAGTGCGAAGAGTGCAGTGTGAAGTGTGGAGTGTGAAGACTTTGCTTCGTCTCTCGCTGAAAAAATCAAACGGTTGTCGAGGTTTGGAGTGCGAAGCGCGCAGTGTGAAGTGTGAGGTTTGGAGTGTGAAGGAAGCAGTTGGAAGTGAGAAGTGTGAAGTGTGAAGTGCGAAGTGTGAAGTGTGAAGTGTGGAGTGTGAAGTTTCAAGTTCGGAGTGCGAAGAGTGCAGTGTGAAGTGTGGAGTGTGAAGACTTTGCTTCGTCTCTCGCTGAAAAAAATCAAACGGTTGTCGAGGTTTGGAGTGCGAAGCGCGCAGTGTGAAGTGTGAGGTTTGGAGTGTGAAGGAAGCAGTGGGAAGTGAGAAGTGTGAAGTGTGAAGTGCGAAGTGTGAAGTGTGAAGTGTGGAGTGAGAAGTTTCAAGTTCGGAGTGCGAAGAGTGCAGTGTGAAGTGTGGAGTGTGAAGACTTTGCTTCGTCTCTCGCTGAAAAAATCAAACGGTTGTCGAGGGAAGGACACGGTTGGGACAGGGTGTCTTTGAACTATAGGTCATTTATGTTTGGGAAACTTCCTCCGCCGGCTTGCCCGGGTCTATGTTATATTATAATCCCCCTTTTAATATTCCTTATTAAATGGCGCCACCCGGGTGGCGCCCCTCATTCTTATTGAGTGCCGCCCCCAGGGTTAAAATCAAACGTGA